AGTATTCTAAATACCGTAGAACAAAAATGACTTCTAAATTTTGTAGAACATGTAGAGTGTGTAGAATACACAATCTAAATTTTGTAGAACATGTAGAGTGTATATAATATACATTCTAATTTCAGAAGACATATTCTAAACTTTATAGATCGAATTCTATCCATCTAAAACGACAACAAAACAATATAATTTTGACATTTTATATATCCTCGTGTCTTCTACATCATTTTAATACATATTTTTCTTAATTATTTTTGAAATAATTGGTTCAATCTTATGCAAGGGGTAGTTTAGGAATAGTTAATATTTGTTCATAGAATTCATATATGGACAAATACTTAAATATTTATCCTTTATTTCCAATTTTCCCTATATAATTTGCTATTTTAATAGAAATCACTCCAAATCCTTTATTTAAAACACCCCCTAGTGTGAGAAGACTCACTTTTCGTTCTCTTTTTTCGTAGACTCACGTATATAAGCCGTCTTCTAATAACAAAACCCTAAGAAAATCGCAAATTAGCTTTAGAAAAAAATTAATTAGAGATGGCGGACGACAGCTTCACCGACGGTACAAGAGTCCCTAGCAACGACAACAATCCTTGTCGGAAAACAGAAGGAGTAGGCTTAATAAGCTCTTTACCTGATTCTATCCTCCAACATATCCTCTCCTTTATTCCGACCAAGTTAGCCATCAGAACCTCCCTCTTGTCCAAACGATGGACACATGTATGGTGCGATATACCTTCTCTCTCCTTAGATGACGAGACACTGAAGGCTGCTTCGATTACCCTAAATCGCTTCACTTCTCTGAAGATAATGAATTTTCATCTCAACTCCACAATGAAGCAGAATATTCCCCATATCAACAAGTGGGTCGAGTTCGCCATATCCCGCAACGTGGAGAATCTTTCCCTTGATTTCTGGAACCCTGGTTCCAGTTACAAGTTTGAGATTCCTGATTTCTTCTACGTCAATTCATCTGTTAAGCAACTCACCATTAAGTTAAGCTTTACTGATCTTATGGTTCATGCATGCTCCCTGTCTTGGACATCCCTGAAGAAATTGTACTTACGTAATTGTAATCTCTCTGATGAATCCATGGCTAAGATTCTATCTGGTAGTCCCCTTCTCGAAAGCTTAACATTGTATTTCTGCAATGAACTAAGGGTTTTGGATGTCAGCAAATCACTGCGTTTGAAAACGTTGAAGATATACCGCAACATTTGGGTTCCGGGGCCAACGCATATTGTGGCACCACATATCCATCGTCTCAGATTGACAAACTCTCAGTTACCATGTACTTTTGTTGATCTCTCGTCTTTAGCCGAAGCTAGACTGGACATTTGCATTGTCCCAATAACCCGAACCTTCAAGGCTGATTTTCTTCAAGACATGGTGCTAAAGATGTTAGAAAAGTTGCAGAATGTAGAGAAGCTTACTTTTGGGGGAAACTTTCTTCAAGTATGTATTGCCGCCCTCCTTCTTGGATTCTCTAATAACTATATTCTCAGTTGATTTTCGGATGGATTAGCTTTCATTAGAAACTGATTTTCTTTGATTTTTGTTAGATTATATCTCTTGCCGAGGTTCGTGGTGTTCCTTTTCCGATGTTCAAGGTGAAAGACTTGACTCTGGAGACAGTAATCTTTCAGTATGTTATTCCTGGTATAGAAAGACTGTTACAAAACTCACCTAATTTAAAGAAGCTAACTATACGCGCAAGGGATACCAACACCATACGGGTATATATATTTACCATTAATTAGTTAACTGCTTTTTATCTTCCGATCCCTGGCCTCTCTTCTAACTTTCACTAAGTTCAAAAATATATCCAAGAACCACTTTTGTTTCTGTTGAGCAGAAGGAGTATATAAACAACTACTTGAAGTTGCAAGACTTAAACCCAGATCAATGCTGGAGATCAAAAGATGGGGTATTTTTCAACAATTTACGTTGGGATTTAGAGTCAAAGCACGCGACTTCATTTGTGGAACTTGTGCTTAAAAACACAAAGACATTAGACTTAGACAAGATAGTCATACTTTTGAATGAGCGTTACCTTCGGTTTAAGTTTGAAGAGCTGGTCGTTCCAACAGTACTTTCTCATAACAACTTCTCCATTGCGCTCTTAAACATGCCTATGCCATCAGATGATGATTGGTAAAGCATTTTTTCTTTCGAGTCTTATTGAACATTTATTTTTTCTTCGATCATGGTGTACTTTTATTGATATTAATTAATGAAGGTTTTACATCGAATCTCACTTAAGCATACTAGAAGAAGAGATTAATATTTCCTGATCCATAGTACTACAATAAATGAAACCCGATTCGACTAGTCAGTGTCCGGTCCGGTTTCTAAGTTCTATTAATGAACAAATTATCTCAAATATATCTTCGACTCCCTTAAAGGCTAGTGAGCTATGAAACTTATCTGATTAAAATCTTAGTATTCGGGTCGGGCTAGGAACATATCATGTCTTTTTCTTATCATTAAACTCCTAGCTCTGCTGATGTCAGATATGACCACACCAATAGATTGATAAGACCATGTACATAGCTGATATAATGAGAGTATCAGGAGCCTATTAATTATTTTTTAATAGATCAGAGTATCAAGTTGGGCATGATCAGTATCACTGGAGTGATACTTCTGATACCCAGTATCAGGTGACGTGGCGGCAGCTGATTCGTCTGAGAAATGCGTTTTTCCTTGAAAGTAGAGAAAAAAAAAATTCATATTTGGCAAAAATGGGGTCAAGGTAATTGATTTCGAGCGACTAAATTATTTTTATCATCATGTTTTTTTAAGTTTTTTTTTAATTTTATATTTTATTTTGCTTAAGTATATTCTACGGTTTTTTAATTCTAACTAGATTTTAACCCGCTGTACACCGCGGGATGATTTATTGTTTAAAGTTAGTATATATAAATTTTTATAAACTGTATCTCCTTATAAAATATTTATGTATTATATGATGATTCAAAACAGTTAAAAACAAATCAAACAAAAATGATAGAAGAATCATAATTCTAAATCTTAATCAAATCTTCTAAATATCTAAATTATTAAATATGAAATATCTGGTGTATGAGTTGGGTTAAATATAACCCGACCCAAGAAATTTTTTGTAATCCTATGTTTTTATATATTTATTTTTGATTTTGCAAATAATTTTTTTTTATGATACTTAAGCCGGTCTCACCAATGCAAACATATTTAGTAGAAGTATCATAAAAAATCTCAAACAATAAACAAACATTATAAATAATACTAAAAAATTCCTAATGATACTATATGGGTATCACCCATATACATGCTCGAAGGATCCAAAAGCATGTGTACTTACCGAATTACTAGGGCTATTGTAAAATGCTTAATTAAATCCACGTAGAATTGACCCATAAGCCCTAAAGTAGCTCCACAACCTTCAACGTCTTCTTCAAACACCTATGGGTTATTTTAAACTTCCAATAAGTATCTGGATCGATACGAGAAGCTGTGGTTGGAACAGGCCTAGGAGCAACCATTTGGAGCGTGAGAGTTTCCAAATCCGGACAGCTATTGATCATGAGCCTTTTTCCAATGAACTTATTTGGAAGAAGATTTGTCTTCATTACCAAATGTCGAGTTTCCATCGGTTCTCGCAATCGAACCGGATCTTCTCCATCTTGGATCAACTAAATGAGAAAAGGACATACCGTTAACGTTCTTGCAGATAATAGATCATAAAGAAGACCACAAAGTTGTGTTCCCGTCTATGAAGTACTTTACTTTTTGAAGTAACTAACTTTGTGTGTGTGTGTGTATATATATATGACCACCACTTAGAAGCAAATGTAAGTCAGATTATTCTAACTAAAATGATATTTCAAAATAATAAAATACTAATGTTGTGTGAATTATATATATATTGAAGTGTAGAGAAAAGATATAAAAATAAATTAAAGGGGTATATGCTATATATGTAGCAAAAAATAATTAACGTCTTATACTGTATATATATATTTTTATCATCATATACTTTTTTTTTATCTTTATATTTTACTTTAAGTGATGTAAAAATCATAGATAAAATATAGGAAAAATGTCCATGTATATTAAAGTGAAGAGGAAAAAACAGAAACAAATTGTAAGATTTTATTCCATATATTGCAGAATCAAAAATGGACAAAAATCTATTATTTTATTATCAAATGATTTGATCTTTACTTGTATTTTATTTAATGTCAAGAAAATAAAGATAAATTATAGGGAAAATGTCTCTCATTTATATTAAATTGAAGAGAGAAAAAGCAAAAACAAATTGTAAGATATTATCCCATATATTGCAGAAACAAAAATGGAAAAAATAGATAAATTATTATCACCATAAATTAATAAAATATTATAGTCCCAATATTATTTATTTATTTGTTTTGATTGTTAAAACATTTTTAGAAAATGATGCTTTTAAACCTTTTTATGTATATAAAATTAATGTTTTGGATGTTATAAATTTTATAGTCTTAGACTTAAACATTTAATATTTCAAAAAGATTTCAATTTATTTTGACAATGAATAACAAAGATTATAAAATTCACATATACTAACGATATACATAAATCAAATTTATAAATAATGACATCTATTGTTGTATTTAGAAAACCTATACTACTATTAAAACAAAAAGTTATGCATATTCAAATTTTGAAAACTTATAATAAATTGTGGTTAATTATTTTTATGAAAATCACTAAAAACATTATATAAATATATATATATATATTTATGAAAAACACTAAAAATTGTGGTCAAATTTCTTTAACAAAATTTCCATTAAATATACCTCTTAATTATATAGTCTACGCGCCCATGTTTAAAAATTTCCCAAAAGTGCATGCTCTCTAAAAGGTAAAAGAAGATTCTTATCTGAACCTTAGGGTTTGAAATCATTTCGGACATCACAATTCACACAATTTCATTTCCGTCTTCATTTTCTCATCGACCACAGATTATACAGAAAATTACTTCGTCTCCACCGGCAAAGATGTTTAACGTCAGCGCTTGTGACATCCGCGACAAACCCAGCCCCAGCAACAATGATATCAAGAGGCTCGGTATGTTTTGTTCTGATGATTTTGGTTTATAATCTAGGACCTATAGTCAGATCTGAGTTCAGAGAACAATTCGTTGAAGAAAGATCTGATTTTGGTTTACATGTTCTCTACACAACTGTCACAGCTAACCTCTTCAGGGAGGAGTTTCAGCGTCGAAGAACCGAAGAAGGTGATGATCAAGACAACACCGGTACACATAATCACTTCTGTTCTATCATAGTTTGATGAGTTTTAATTAAAAACATATAGTATCCGAAGATGGTTTTAACTTGTGGGATTTATTTATTTGACACAGTGCTTGAAAGAGAAAAAAAAGTGAGGAAGATCAATTCACAATCCGAAGCTAGTACTTCTTCATCGGACAACTCTTCTTTTGTAGCCCTTGTCAAGGCTTCAAATCTAGAGGAAGATAGTCTGGTGCGTTTACTTAAATTGTTTAGCCGGATTGTGTGAACCGGAGAGGTTGGAATTGTGAAACCTTTTTTGTTTTGTTTTGCAGTATCTTCCACAAGATTGCACAAGGTCTAATGGTCTAAATCAAAAATGCCGCAAGATTGTTTTAACAGATGGAGGGGGTAGATCATGGGAAATGGATCTGAAGTTCAACAAAAACTTGGATTGTTTTTCAATAACCAGAGGTTGGAGACATTTCTGTGACGAAAACGGCAAAAAAGAAGGAAGTTTTTTTGTGTTCGAACTAACGATAAAGGAGGGAACACCGTTGCTCTATTTCTCCCCATCTGAATCTACTATCAATTATACGAAGTTACCAAACCAGGAGAGATTTGTGACTGTAAGACTCGTACCTGATTGTCTCAAACACTGTAGATTGGTGAGTGTTTTTCATCAAACAAAAAACTCTTGTTTGTTTTATTGCAATATAGTGTATTTTATTTAATTCTCCTTTCAAAATATTTTTCAGTATCTCTCAAGGCGATTCTTGAAAAATAATGGTTTGGGGGAAACAAAGATGGTAACACTACTGGGAACAGATGGTACAAGGAGGTTGGCAAATCTTCTACGGGAAAACAACGGACGAATGAGCTTGGGAAGAGGCTGGGTAGAGTTTGTGAAAGCTAATGGTTTGAAGATAGGTCAGTACTTTACACTGGAGTCCATTTGGGCAAATGATACTCCTATCCTCAAATTGTCTAGTACAAATGATTCCAAAAGTGATATAAGGCAGCGAAGAGAGAACTTACCAGAAGCTAACGAGAAAGAGTTTGTTTCCACTGAGGCTAGCGATGGAAACGAACCCGAGAAAGACATGAACACAGAGGAGATGATTAATCAATCATCACTAATCGATAACCGATTTGTGATATTAGCACTCGAACCTGAGGATGCCAAAGCCGGAATGCTGGTACGTTTTAAAAACAAGTTCAATTTGTTTTTACTTGAATCTAATCAATAACAAGCAATGTTTATCAAATATCTTGCAGTATCTTCCAAGTCACTTCATGAAAGCTAATGGCATCGACAAAGTTGGAAAAATATATATGTTGGGTACAAATGAAATGGAGTGGTGGTGGGGAAATCTATTGACAAGAGATGGAATCGTATCTGTAGGAAGTCGTTGGAGATACTTTTGTAAATCTAATGGCGTAAAGATTGGACAATCTTTCAAATTAGAATATATGTATAATTATGACACAAGGCCGGTACTCAAATTTGTCCCAAGTCCGGGGAATAAAAGAAATGTTTAATCAAAAGTATGTTAAATTTTTCAGGTCTTACTTTTAAAGCCAGTCCTTTTTGGTTGTTAAGTTAAAGTCTAACTAATAAATAAATAAGTATCATCATGTATCATTCATTTAATGGAGTCTTTGTTGTTCAGTTAAAGAGGTATTATCAAAATGGCCATATTGTTTTTGTAGTCTTCTATCACAGGCATAATGGTGTATTTCTTTGTTGTACTTATTCACAGACTATTAGGTTCTTCGGTTCGTGTACGACACCTAAATGGAGTGACGTAGAGGAGAATAAGGGTCTAGAGCTAGAAAACTAGATTAACCATATCATTCTTACTCTTTTACCTCTTAATGCTTCGGAAGTAGTAAAAGCAGTGTCTTTGAAAAAGAATAAACCGAAAGTAGATACAGAATAAAATGAAGATGACCATAAAGGATGCCTCTATTGATGAGGAAGGAGAAACATTTGTCAAGAAGGAGACACGAAAGGAAAAAAACATTCATTTGTTAGTTGTTTATGCTATCACCTATAATCAAACTGTTATCACTATGCGTTCGTTTAGTAATTATGTTTTCAGTCAACAAATCAGCTACTGAACGACTGAGTTTTTGAGAACAAAAATCTAAAACTTTCATTACGACATATCATCAGAATAAATAAGTCTCTAATACTTTTTACGTGTATGAAGCTCGGCTTGAACTAACTGCCACGATTGTGCCTCTTTTTTTCCTAAACATAATATATCTAATGAATCTTTATCCACATTTTTAAAGATTTTTTTCATTTCTTGTTTTGCAAATATACCAAATAATCCATGGGTATGAAGATGAATCGACCTCTGAAGGTAATCTCCAGAATAAGTAATCCAAATTTGTGTAAATAGAAGCCGAGAAAAAATTCTCTGGAACCGTAGGAACCTGCGAAAGTGCTCAAATTTGTCGCGCTGGGTGGCATTCAAAGAGTGTATGGTTAATTGTTTTTTCGAACGCGCCGCATCTGCCGCATCCTGTGTTACAATTTATACCTCTTTTCCGCAAATTTTCTGTGACCGGCACACAACCTAATAAATTTGCTACAAAAATGACGTAACTTAAACGGACATTGCACTTTCCAAATATGCTTTTAGTGATTTGATATCTGAGCCAATAAAAGACAAATTGCCATTCCAATTTTCTAAACGCGCTGTATGATATCCAGATTTAACTGTATATTTTCCGGATTTTGTGATATGCTAACCTAGGGCATCCTCCTTAGTTGGCGCACCCAAAAGAAGGTCACTTATTAGCCGGCATCTTCCGAATCAAAGAGCTCTTTCAAGAGATCAATATTCTAAAAATTTTACCGGCCGTCTATAAGATTTTGATTTTTAAAGATGAGTCAATAATTAAACAATTACTTATTGTTGGTCTTGGGATTTGAGCTGGAATACACGAGTCCTCCGAAACTGAGATGGACGCCGCAGAACCGACTCTTTTAATAAGTCTTTAATTAACCAGAGATCTAGCTGACATTATACTTCGTCGAGAGGGTCTAGCCGCTAAAGAAAAATCTCGTGCACAACTGTGGAAACACGAAACAGTGTAGAAAACATTTCTCCCCATTATTTGTTTTATCAAGCATGCAAGTGAATTTATGCGCGAAATTAGTTTTTATTTTATTTTATTATGATTATATATTTTTGCTCAATCTCATTTATTCCAAAATATTTAAAAAAAAATGAAAATGCACTCAAATATCCATCCTTTAGCATTGATCTACAATTAATGATAAGTTGTTAATATTATTTAAACTTTCACTTACTTCACCAAAGGATTACTAAAGTCTTATTCATAGATATTTTTTTGTTACTTACTAAGAACTTATTGTGCTGGTCTTGAGTATATATATTCCATATTGGGTAATGACTATTATGTAATGAATTTTCCATAACATAAAATCTTTACTATAGTTTTGGTCAACAAGTTCTATAATTTATTATTTTATAATAAATATTTTGGTATATCATAAACGACCATAGATGGAAAAATATCTTTCCCAAATAAATGATTTATTTTTACTTATAATGAATTTTCCATAACATAAAATCTTTACTATAGTTTTGGTCAACAAGTTCTATAATTTATTATTTTATAATAAATATTTTGGTATATCATAAACGACCATAGATGGAAAAATATTTTGCTCAAATAAATGATTTATTTTTAGAGAAATTGTTAAAAATGTCCCTTTTTCAATACCCCTTTTCAAAAATGCCCCATTTGAGAGTCCATTTTTAAGTTTGCCCTCTTTTAATTTTTAATAACCATTTTACCCTTATTTGAAACAAAATTAGGTCCACAAAATACAAAATATTTTTTGGCGGGAAAAGTGATCCCGCAATTTTCCCGCCAAAACACTTGTAAAAACCTTTAAAATACCTTGTAAATTTTCCGGTAAAAATTTTTCCCGCCAAAAAATTTTCCCGCCAAAAAAATTTTTTTTTGCGGGAAAAGTGATTCCGCAATTTTTTTGGCGGGAAAAATTTACAAGGTATTTTAAAGGTTTTACAGAGTATTTACAAGTGTTTTGTAAGGTTCTACAATGTATTTTAAAAGGTTTAACAAGGTATTTATAAGGGTTTATAAGGTATTTATAACTTGTAAAACCTTATAAAAAACTTGTAAAACCTTATAACTTGTAAAACCTTATAAAATAGCTTGTAAAATCTTATAATATCTTATAAATACCTTATAAATACGTTGTAAAACCTTTTAAAATACATTGTAAAACTTTATAAATACCTTGTAAAAAACCTTTAAAATACCTTGTAAATTTTTCCGGCCAAAATGTTTCCCGCCAAAAAAATTGCGGAATCACTTTTACCGCAAAATTTTTTGGCGGAAAAAAATTTTACGGGAAAATTTTACAAGGTATTTTAAAGATTTTACAAGTTTTTACAAGTGTTTTGGCGGGAAAAATTGCGGGATCACTTTTCCCGCCAAAAAATATTTTGTATTTTGTGGACCTAATTTTGTTATATTTCCTTATATATTTGTGATATCTTTTATTAAAAGAAGGGTAATTTAGTCATTTTGTACATAAAAAGGGGTATTTTTAAAAATGGACAGCCAAATGGGGCATTTTTGAAAAGGGGTATTGAAAAAGGGGCATTTTGTGAGTCTCCCTTTTTTTTACTTCAACATAAAAATTATATTTTAAAACATTAATAAATAATACAATAAGTGTCCGAAACAATCAAACCACTGATGTATTCCAAACTTCCCAAATGTATATACTATATACTTTATTAGAAATAGAAACCTACTTTACGTAGGCATGTTAATTAGGGCCAAAACCAGCGGGCTGGTCCGGCCCAGCCCTGAAAAACAGCGGGCTCGGACTTAAAAATATATGTCCAGAAAAAAATCGGGCCTTTTGGGCTAAGCACGTTGGGCTAAAGAGTTTTTAGGGTTTAGCCCGGCCGGATTCGGGCCGGTCCGAAAAGCTCTTAAAAAGAGATTTTAACCTTTTTTTTGTTAATATTATTGTTTAATTAAGAGATTTGTTTAAAGACTTTTTTTTAATAGAGTTAAAAACCCTAAACCTAGTTTTCTAATTGTGTCTTACAATAAGTGTTCTGATTTTATATTTTATTTAGTGTGGGTTTAAACAATTTATTTGGATTATTTATTTGATTTTAAACTTTTTTAAAACTAAATTGGCTTTAGTGGGTTATTTAAGTTTCGTACTTTCGTTTGACTCGTTTTATACATAGATTCTTTTTTTCAAGAGATATTATAAATTAGAAGGGTTTATTTTTCTCGAAAGAAAAGCCCAAAAAATCCCGTAAAAGCCCTGTACCCCTGTTAGTGTTGGGCCGGGCTTCAAAATCTAGGCTACGAATTTTACGGGTCGGACCAGGCCGAACTCAAACATATACGGGTTTTGCGGGCTTCGGGCCGGGCCGGGCCGGGCCAGCCCGATTGACATGCCTAACTTTATGTGGTTTTGAAGGTTTGAAAACCATCTTTTAGACCTGTTTTTCTTTGGCCATGGAAATTTTTGATAATTGCAACTACATTTCTACTTGCATACTTTTAATAGAGTATTTAGTGTATTATATCATGAAGATTTGTATATATTGTAAGGATGATTTTATAAGCTTTGGCTTGGACGTTCTTTTATACTTTTTGTTGTATTTATTAGATCGTGAGTAAATAATTGTATCATAGAATTAGGATGAGATAATATATATATATATATGGGCAAAAACGTACTTTTATTCATACTGATGCGAGTACATATCCCCTTATTATTAAAAGGGAAGTACAAATTGAAAAATAGTCTAAATTGGCCTCAATTTCAATTTTAATTTTGGATTTTGTAGTGTGTTTATTGAAATCGATAAGGGTAAATTAGTCTAAAATTTTCATTAAAAGCTTAGGATCCGCGTGTTTATTAAACGGGTGGTTAGTTGATCAAATATATCCAAATCATTAAACGAATCACTAATCGGGTTTTAACATCTTCATAAAACTGAGATGCAATCCTAACCATTCAACATATTTGGTATCTAATTAAAGGCATATTCGATCTCACTTTGAAAGATATTCTCTAAATCTCGACTAATTGCTAAACTAATTTTCTAAATTATATGATCTAATCTAATCCTAACCATAAACTGCTACACAATATCCGTATTTTCCCTAAAATCGTGTATCATTCAATTTGATATCAATCAAGAATATATGATAGTTAACATATCCAATATTTTATGCTTCGTCTCCAAGATTTTCCAAAATTTTCTAGCCAACAACCCTAACATTCTACTTCACTATAAATATCAAACGTCTTTTTATTTCTTACTTATCCAGCACTTACATCTATTCACCACAAACGACTCATTCCTCTCTTTCTTACAATGTCTCAATCAATTGCTTTCCTTGATGATGTGAAGCGTAAAACATTCACAACCAGATTTGGAACAAGAATATTAGCAGAAGAATCGTCATTATCAGCTTAATCTTCTCTTCTCTTATCAGTTTCGGCACCACTAACCAAAACACAGCCTGCAAAACAAACAAAACACACAAAGTTCTTGTGATCTGCATCTCAAATCAGGATTCACCAACATGTAACACTTTCAAACGATTCATGGGGGCTTTCTTGATACTAATAAGACGTTTAGGGCAGTCTCAATAAATTCTGGACTCTGAAACCGAGAAGAAACTATTATGGCTTGCTAACAAGTCTCTCAAAATGAGAGACGAAGTCTACAGCTGGATAAGATTAAGAGTTGGTAATAGACGCACCTGCAGATTTTGGTCGGACAATTGGGGATAGCGGCGGATGCAACTCTTCAAGATCTCTACAGTGAGGGAAATTGGATTCTTCCACCTGCAAGATCAGACAATCAACTGGCTCTTCAGTTTTTTTCTCACTGCTCTACAC